CCATACAACTTCAAAAGTTATTTGACTATATCTCAGAAACTATAAAAGCTGTGATATTGAGATTTCACATAAGTGAGTATATTAGTAGGGCCGATGTGCTTGATAAAATTAGCTAAAATTTCTTGGGTCTTTCTGGTAGCTGCCATACAACATCAATAGTAGTTTGGCACAACCAGTTTTTTGAATAACACATAGTACTGAAATTTTGCATAAATTAATATGGTAATACGGCAACTTAAAGTCATAGTCTGCCCCATAGTTAGTTATGGCACATTAGTTATTCGCACATAGGATAACAAATTCGTACGGGTATCACAGAGTTGACAAGGTCAACTCTATTTTTTTTCTCGTTTTTTTTTAATTTTATAGTTACTTATGAAGATATCGAACAAAATATTTTGACCGTTCTTATCTTGTTTAACCTTTAAAATATTGAGATTATTGGGATTAAAACCTTATGCTTATAAGTAATCTTAGATTTGGAGAAAAAAAAAATTATTTTTAACATGAAAATTTTGAAATTGAAAAAATAATTAAGAAATAATTTTCCATTTTAAGTGAAAATATGAGTATTACAAATGAATTTGACAAATACATAAGTTTTTCTTATTAAACTTAAAAAATTTTTAATTATTTTTTTTCCTTTACCAAAAAAGTTATTAAACTTTTCATGAATTTATATTTCATGTTTATTTTGTAAGTATCTTGTAAATTATCTTATCTTTTAAAACACAAAAATTTTTTTTTTTAATTTTATAATTGCAACAACACTCGTAAAATAGGTAAAATAAACATCGCATAGACCCTGATAAGATTAAAAACAACAAACCCTATAAAAACAACAACAACAAAAATATTATCTTTTTTTTTTATGTTTTTATTAAAAACATTTTTTTTTTACCTAGCAAAACACCTAGCAATTGAAAGCACCTTACCATATCTTCATTGTTTCTTTTATTAAAAATGATTCACTCATTTAAAAATTTGAAAATAAATTTTCATTTTATTTATTTTTTACTTCAAAAATTGAAATTGCTGCGAAAATAAAAACTTGTACTTTATTAATCCAACAACAAAAAAATCTGACACTTCCATCAATAAAACCTTAAGGCACAAATGACATTTATACATGTACATAACAGTTTTACCTAAAATATTTTTTTAACACATTTCATTCATATTGATTTTTGCATAATAAAAGATTTAAATTGTCAAAATTGGTCTTGTTTAAAGTCAATCATTTAATTGAAAAAATTTACAGCATATTTCGAAAGTGACACCAAAAAAATAATAATACATTTACACTTGAACCCATACATAAGTGTATTTATAATTCTTATTATACTCGTATTTTCTTGAATTTCATTTTGTATCTGCATATTGCTTGTCAATTCCGTTATTTCAACTGAATGGCACTAATAAATAGCCTTTTATTTCGGATTTGTTATTAAGGGCAGTTTTAAGAGGATTTCTATATTTTGTAACTTGTAGCACTTATTTTATGATTTTTCTAAGAAATATTGTATTTAATATTTGAAATTGGAAAAAAAAACTAAAATTTATACATACATACACTCAACTAAACCCATGCTTAACATTTAAGAGTTACCTGTTAACAGCAACATCAGCTATGAAAAAATTGTTTTGTTTGTTTGTGTACAAAACAAAATAATATGGTAGATGATGAAGTTCGAAATCTTCTTATAAAGACATTATTATTATCCTAAGCAACATTTATTTATACACCTACATACACACATTTCTGTGTGTGCGTATACAAAGTAAGGTCCGGTTATTTTCTTATACAGAAAAAGAAAATTTAAATGTAAACAAAGTATTTACGTTTAGGTGCTCAATTAAATTTGCAATCTTATCCTTATTTTTTTTTCAACTATGCAATATACGGGTATTCTTGTTAATTCAAGCTTTATTGTATATATGTATATGTATACATATATGTACTCTACATTCTGTTACGATCTGAATTTATTGGTATTATTGTAGAAATTTAAAATAGTAATAATAAATATTTTTCTTTTAAAAATTTATTTCAATTCCATTAAATTTAAATTGGAGTTTTATTCTTTAAAAATATGTAATTAATCTTGTAAATTGTCTAATACACAAATATACATATGTACGTACTAATATAACAAATTAAAATATATATATATTATACTTATACATAGCATAAGTATAATATAAATAAATAATTAGTACATACATATAAAATAATAAATTTATTTAGGTATATTCATAGAAATTTTATTATCTAATTAATATCGATTTTATAACTGTTATATTTTAGCATAAATAAGGCGTGAAATTCATTAAAAATATCTCATACTTAATAACATTGAAAAAATCGATGATGATGTTCAGATTTTATTTATTAAGCAAACTAAATTATTGTTAATAACAAACAGAATATAATAATTTGTATAAAAATCATAAAATTATTAATTACAATAATACTTGTATTTGTAACTGTTATACTAATTTACCGAAATCCATTTAAATTTAAATGTTTTGCCTGTTATATTAAAAAATAATACAAAAATTTTTAATTCTTGAGTATGCTTTAATAAAATTTTTAATTTTTTCCATGTAAACCATGTAAATTATTCTAAAATTAGAACAAATCTGTATTTTCCGGTATATTTTTCATTAATTTCCTCCGCAAAAAATGCCTATAGGTTATTAAGTGCATGTTTGTAGATATGTATTTTGTTTTATATTATTTCCTACGAATCCGTCCATAAAAACGTATATTTTATTTTAAGATAACGCGATTTAATATTGTTTTTGTCTTTTTGTATCCTTAAATAATCCTCCTACATAAAAACTGTAAGGTATACGTTTTTATATACACAAATAATAATAAATAAATCTCTACCTACATAACTAGCTAGTTTAATGAATATTGCTTATGATTTGCTATTTAAAAAATAATGGTATATAAACATTTATAATAGATACATAATACACGTATACATATACATACATACTTTGTACTTATACACAATATAATATAAAATTTTACGTTTAAGAAAATAGGAACTTTTTGCAACTAAGAAATATATATATATATATATATATATATATATAAATTAATTTTCAAAGTTAAAATATTCTCAGTACCTTGAATTGAAACCTTCAGATATGAAAAAAAGGGTTTAAATTTCAAATTAACTTCTTTCTTATATAGTTGTTATATTAAAAAAAAAAAAGCAAAAAAAAAAAAAGCAAAAAAAAAAAAAGCAAAAAAAAAAAAAACAAACTTGTTGGAAAACTACGAAAACACGTAGTTGTACGTACTTGTACTCGTTTATGTACTTGGAAAATTAAATGATAACTGGTTCCAGAGATTTTGTGACTATTATAGCATAGCCTATATGCATATACATATGTACGTATATTCCAAATACTATATGTATTGAATTTTTTGAATTGATGCCAATAGTTTTGAATTTGCTTCAATTCATCACGTTTTTCTTTTTGTTTTTTTCCTGCTTAAATTAATAAAAAAACTAGAAGAATATCAGATGAAACGATGAAGGAAATCAAGATTTAATTTAATTTTTTTTTTTTTTGCAAAATTTTCAATAATAAATTTATATTGTATGCCGACAGTGTGAGGAATAATGCGAAATGGATTTACATACATAATAAGAGCAAAACGTGCCCTTAGCCGATTGGAATAATTTAGAATTTGATATGAAAAATTCAAATGTGTGGATAATTTTGTTTTAGATATAGTGAATTTAGCTCCATTTAGCTCTATTGCCAAACGGATATAGTGGAAGTAAACAATTGAAGTCGGTAATATCTGTCACATTCTGACATAATAAGAGAATTAATTTGACAGGTAGTAATTTTGAAGAGATGAATTTCTGCAAATCTTTTTTTAAGATAAAATTAAATTAATAAATAATATTTTTTGACACATGTATTTATTTTGCATTTTGTATTTAACAGCGCCCCGAAAGTAGCTAGATTTTCTTGCCGTGGCCTCCATTTTACATAAACACAGTAGGTTATATGAATAAATACTTACAGATGTAAGAAATAATTCCTTACAAGTACCCATATTCAACAATTATGTAAGTACATACATATACATACACAATTCATATTACATGTTTTTTATTTATAAACAATAAATTATTTTTTTTTTAACCGGTTTATTATCTAAATTAGTATTTTTTTATGTTGTTATTATGGTTTTCATTATTACTATTGATATTCAATTAATATTTTTATATAAATGAAGGAAAACGAAAACTACTGTGTTGGTATGTATATCAAATAACATTTTCATAATAATTATAAGTACATACATATACACATGCATAATAGTTATAGTTACGTATTCAAAACTTGATTTGAGATTTCTTTATTTTAAAAAATTAAAAGCAAAAACTAACCGAGATTATAAAATAATTTCTATCTAGTATGTGCATATAATCAGAAATTATGCATACGTGTACATAATTATGTGTATGAAGGTATAATCTATCTATTATACAACTAAGTAAAATATTTTTTGTTACAGGTTTCAGAAATTTTATATTAATTTATAGACTTTTAATGAATTGTAAATATTTTATCGAATTTTTTCAGGAACAATAAATTTATTTATTAAATACACAAAATAATAATAAAATTTATTTCAAATACCTTATACAGTTTTGAAAACATTTTTTTTATTAAAATTTTAAATTTTGAGAATTCAACCCTGACAAAACCGATTTCAATAATACACGTTAATAATGAGTAATTTTCAAAAGTCATTTACATAATTATTATATTTGCGTATACACACTTCATATTGCATATTTAATTATAAACACTATTGAAACACTATTATTTAAGAAGAAAAAAAAACCAATGTGATTCACTTTGCGATTCGAACAAGTTTCAATTCTATTATGTTTTATATTTGCGAAAAAAAAAATTAAAAACAAAAAAATCAATAAATAAATAAACAAAACACTCACCTTTCTGTAGGCGAACAATTCTTTTTGTAGTTTTTGTCGTTCAGCCGTTGGCTGTTGACCCTTCCCACGTATAAATTTTAACATTTTATCTTTATTTAGATATTTTTTTTCTTAAATTTTTTAAAACAGTTTAAAATCTTCTTGGTCGTTTCTATTTTGAAGGCTATGATTTTAGGTTACCAGAATATCGTAATATTTAATATTTTTTTTTTTTTTGCTGTTTCGTGTTGCCAATTTACAAAAACTGAAATGAAAAATTACACAAAAATTATAATAAATTAATTTAATAGTTATTTAAGAGGTTTATTATAAATTTTACAAAAAATAGTAAGTTAAAAAAAAAAAACAAATAAAAAGCACCAAAATGAATTCTAAAAATCGGTTTTAAGAAAACTGACTATGGAAAAAATTAAATCCGAATCCAAAATTCAAATTAATTTGTATGGTAAATTGGCTGAATTTTTGAACTCGCTCTAACGTTCTTATAAGCAATTGATAAAACAATGAACCCAGAGTCTTGTCACTTATCGAATACTATAGTGGCATATAGCAATTAACTTAATTTAGCAATAATAGATGTCACTGCTTTTTTACGTTACCAGAACTTTGATAATAGTCGCTTTGAAGACTTATTTACCATATCTCTAAGAATATTACAATTATTACAATATAAAAATTATAGTGCTAAATCTTACCACATGGCAGTTAAGTCATGCGATTTTCACAATAAAATAACAGATGTATCACATGGCTTCAATTGCGTTTTCCGTCGTATTTTAAGTTACTGCCAACATACATATAATTTTTTAATATAAAATTGTTAACGATCCTTAAATCAGCAAAAATGCAAGGCGCTTATAATTGCCAATAGTTTTTTTTAGTTCACTAATAAATCTGCTATTTTTAACCAACTTCAGAGAAAATAAAATAAAAAGTGTTATATTTGAGAGAACCCTATAAATGTAAAAATTTGAATATTACCGAAAAAAATCGAAATGAAATTATTAAAAATTATTATTTTATAAAAACAAAAAATTAAATAATGTACATGTTATGTAAGTATCTATAAAGAATTTATTTATACAATAATTTTGTTACAAATCGGATATTATTTAAATAAACAAACAATTTTATGAAGTTTTCCATTTAATCGTAAACACACTTCCTTCAATATTTCAATCGATTCATTTCCTTAATTATTTATTTATTCACTACTAACCTATCAACACACGTAAACAAAAACAGAAAAAAAATAATTTTAATGCAAAATCATTAATCGAATTTCCCTAGTTTCTCACTCATTTTCACTGATTTAACACTTTTTTCTATGTCAGCTAGGGTTTTTACATATAACTGTGTGTATATGTGCATTAACACACATAAGCATTGTGATTACCTCAATAAAAACAACAATAAGAAAAGAAATAAAACAGAAAACGAAACCATCAAACAACATTTAATCGATATTTCCTTTAAAAAATTAAAAAAAAGAAAACAAAAATAAAATTTGAATGATAAAAACATTTTAATTTGCCTTTTTAATTCCCCATTTCATTTTATAAATTTTAGTTTGAATAAAAATTTACAATAAATTAAGCACAGGCAGTTGAAATATTGAAAATGTTCAAAAATATAGATCTCTGCGGAAAGTGTGCCCAATTTCAATGCTTTTTATTTGCAAAATTTTAAAAATTAAGAGCATAATTCACACTAACTCTAAGATATCTATAGATAATGACTAATTTTAAATTTTCAAACGGACTTACAATCACTGAATAGTTTTTAATTACTGTTAAGTCACTGTTCATTTTAATATTTTCTAATGCCTCTATTAATAATTATTTTTATTTGACAGGAGAAATTAAAATGTTGTGAATACTACACATATTATGAAGAAATGGTTACATAATCTTGTTAGAATAACATCTTATGATAATATGCCGAAATGTCAAAAACTTTTACCAAAAACAGAGTTACAAAAGAATACTAATCCGTGTAAGATCAGCTAAAGAAAGGTAGAAGATAATAAAAATGGGTGATTAAGCCTACCAATTTACTTAATTCGTTAACATGAAAATAATTATTCGCCAAACGCACTTAATATCAGTTTTTATATTAACTGTCAGAATTATTTTCAAACATTTTAATTATTTCATAATATTAGAAAGATTAAAAAATGTTCAGAGAACAACTCCTGAATAACAACACAATAATACCTATCGAAATATTAAAATATCTACGTCAAAAAAAACTACATAAACCGAAATTTGAAAACGAAACGGCAACACTATCCAAAAACGTCTTTTTTTTTTTGCTCCACATAATTTTAATCAGATTTTAAAAATTAATTTTCGAAAATACGTGTTTATATGAACAGATGTGTTAAAAACATAAATACGATGTGCGTATGTACTTTCACATCTATCTATACCTATATATTTAGTACATTTTAAAAACAATGTAAAAATTTTAACAAACCATATGGAACGAAAAATAGTTTCAATTTACTTCAAATTAAGTAAGCATAAATGTGTGTGTGTTTGAATCAGTGTGATTGCATATTTGCTTTTTTGTTTTTGTTGTATGATGTGAATTAAATCTCATGTATTCTTTAATAAATGTAAATCAAAATTCATATACAAAGTGAAACTTTACATAGTGTTATAATAATTTAGAATTAGGAATTTTTAATTTACTTTTTGTTTTTAGTCCATTTTCAAATTATTAACACAGATAATGACGATTACATCATACAGCAACCAAAATTTATCTGTAGTCCATATGCATTTTTTTTTTCTTAATACAATATGTTTGAATTTGTATGATTGGGATTTTTGTTGATAAAACAAAAAAAAATATTCTAAAAATTTATTTTAAAGCTTCATTTTATGACAAACAAAACTTTTAACTAATCTGTATAATAATTAGAACAGTTTAGGTATACATATGTATATATATACGTATAAGTATAATTATTGTGTATAATACTTAGTAATAAAAATTTATGGTATTGTTGTATATCATACCCATTTATAAATTCAGTATTCTTTTCGTTACGTTACGCATCAAGAATTTTTCTATTATTTCTATGTATAACAAAAAAAAATTTTCATTTCATTGAAAATTGAAAATTTTTAGAAAATATACTTTTAGTTTTTAATAACAGTATAATTTAGAACTTTATACTTAATTAAAAATAATTTTTTTTTAAATTCAACAAATTTTTACCAACATGTTAATAACATCGAATTTCTATTATAAAAGTCTAATCAAATTAATTGATAAATAAAATAATTTACAATTTTGAAAATTTGCAATGATAAAATTTGATTTCTTTAAGCACCATTAAGTAGAATAAGTTTGAAGTAGAATTTTGACACTATATAATTGAGATTTTGATTTTATTCTCTTTATTTGTATAACAATGCAAATTATTGTCATTTTGGTAATATTGAAACTATTTAATTATCATCTCAAATTGAACACACATATACATACATTTATAATATACTCATAAGAAACTCTTTATAACTTTTAACCTTGAAATTCCTTTCTTAATTTATTCCTTTTTAGGTACACTATTTAAATTTTTAAATCGTACTTATGTGCGTACATAAGCACACGAGTATTATGTATGTTACATACAATAATATATTTCTTATGTAAAAAAAAAAGAACAGATTTTACTGTGCAGCACAAGCCAGTTTGAAAATGGAATGGAACTGAAAATGCATAAATAATCATGTATGTACATATATGCTGCATGTTACAATACACATGTTTTAACACATTGTTTTTTTTTTTACCATTATTTTCTTTCTCATTTAAAGACAATATTGGTTTGCTCATAATTAATTAAGCAAACGATTATTATTATTTCTTTGTGAAATGCTTATTTAAAGTAGTAAGTAATTCAAGTAATGATGATAAAAATTAATTGATTTTAATCTGTAATCTTAATAATTTTTTTATTTCTTTGCATATTGTAATATTTTTTTGTTATTTTTTAAACAAAATTGCAATTTCTGCGATCATTTGTTCGGATATGTCTAATTTTTAAAGCACTTAAGCAAATTAATTTGAGTTTCAAAAATAAATTTAAATACTCGTCTGCAAATCATTTAAGCAACTCGTCGCATAACCACACTTGCTATCTTAATTATATTTAATAAAGGTATCCGTCCAAGTTAATTGTCTTCGTTCATTTTCAGCACTCATAATGCATGCAGCAGAAATAAGTATATGTATGTGCCAAATTCCAAATCTCAAGCTATTCCAATTTTCAAATTAACACATTACAAGCAGAAAGAGGTATGACTAAATCGATTGTTACGTAAAATTCATAATTCTATGTTAGAAAATTCAATGTTAGAAAAGTCTCTTTTACTCCACTTGGTATTGTAACAATTTGATTACTCTACATACATATGATAGTTACTTACTATTTAAATATACATATATGTACATATATTCGGAAGTTTCAGTGTTTCAATATTTTACTGTACGTTTTCAATATGTTACATAAATAATTAAAAAAAATTATAACTACAAAACTCAATTAATTGAGTAATTGACGACACTTTTATGGTACTACTTTATTACAAATAAAAAAATAAATATTTTTTTGTGTTTATAAGAAACTAAACGCGTTTACTTATTCGTACAGACATACAAATTTAAATTACACAAATTCATACATACATACATATGTTCACATATGTGGGTATTTATAATATAAGCCTTACATATTGTTATTCGCAGACATTTTACAAAGAAAAAAAAAATGCATTTACCCAGATTTAATAAGGTATTGTCTGTTTGTTTTCATTTTTAATTCACCATAAATATGTACATATGTACATATATAACTAATCGCATATAAGGATTTACTTGTTAAAAATGTATCTCCACAAATTCCTTAACTAAATGCTAAACATATGTATATGTACATATTTAAAATACGTGAATGCTTACAAAACCTAAAATGTAGTTTAACACCAACAGATTTATTTGAATGCATTATCGTCTACTTGTATTTCTTTCAAATTGTATGTACTTATATTCAAAATTTTAACACAATGTATAGTAACACGAATGATTTTTAAACACAAATATATTTTCCGCGTTCGCATATGCGCTCATACATATATGTAAGTAAACCCACATATACTTACATAACAAAATAGTACATACACATATACTTATATGCGCAAACTAAGGCATGAGAAAAAAGTAAACAAAAAA